CCCGCCACTTCACCAGGTAGTGGTACTGCCCCTTGCGGTCCACGCTGAGCGGGGGCACCCACGCGTGACACCGGGCACCCACGGGTGACGGGGACACCCACGGGCAACGAGGGGCACCCACGGGCAACGGGGGACCGGGGACGCCGGTCACGGCACCAGGTAGCGGTACTGCCCCTTGCGGTCCGTGCTGAGCGGGGGCACCCGTGGGTGACAGGGACACCCACGGGTCATCCATGTGTCACTGGGGGCACCCACGGGTGACACTCATGGGTGACGTGGGACTGGAGGACACACGGGGCACTCAGAAGAGACCTTGCTGTCACGAGGACACCAGGGTGTCAGCAGGTGGCACCAGCTATCACCAGGGGGCACCCAGGGACAGGGACACTCACGGGCGACAAGGAGGCACCAAGGGACACTCAAGGACAAGGACACCTAGACAGGACCTGGGGGTCACCCAGGGACAGGGACACCCAGACAAGACCTGGGGTCACCTGGGGACAGGGACATTTGGCTGGGACCTGGGGTCACCTGGGGACAGGGACACCCAGACAGGACCTGGGGTCACCTGAGGACAGGGACACCCAGACAGGACCAGAGATCACCCAGGGACAGAGACACTTGGCTGGGACCTGGGGTCACTTGGGGACAAGGACACCCAGACAAGACCTGGGGTTACCCGGGGACAGGAACACCCCAGACAGGACCTGGGGTCACCTGAGGACAGGGACACCTAGATGGGACCAGGGGTCAGCCAGGGACAGGGACACTTGGCTGGGACCCGGGGTCACCTGGGGACAGGAACACCCAGACAAGACCTGGGGTCACCTGAGGACAGGGACACCTAGACGGGACCGGGGGTCACCCAGGGACAGGGACACTTGGCTGGGACCTGGGGTCACCTGGGGACAGAGACACCCAGACAGGACCTGGGGTCACCTGGCAACACCACCACCCAAACAAGGCCTGAGGTCACTTGGGGACAGGGACACCCAGACAGGATCGGGGACAATTGGGGACAGGGACTCCAAGAGTGCCCAGGGGGTCCCCAAAGGTGCCGGGGGGGACCAAGGGGACCCAGGAGGTCCCCAGACACCTAGGCCCTACCCAGAAGCTCCCCAAACCCTGTGCAAAGCGTGCTGAGGGCTTCCCATGCTGGGGGGCACCCAAGGGTGCTGGGGGGGGTGCCCAGGACATCCTAAGGGTGCCCGGGGGGGGGGGGGCCCGGGGGGGGGCACCTAGGAGGACCTAAGGGTGCCCAGTAAGACCCAAGGGTGCCCAGGGGGACCCAAGGGAGCCCTGGAGGCGCTCAGGAGGACCCAAGGGAGCCCAGGGAGTACTCAGGAGGTCCCCGAGGGTGCCCAGGGGACGCAGGAGGACCCAAGGGAGCCCAGGAAGTGCCAAGGAGGACCCAAGGGAGCCCAGCGGGTGCTCAGGAGGACCCAAAGGTGCCTGGGGGGACCTAAGGGTGCCCAGAGACGTTCCCCAAGCCCTACCGGGAGGCGCCGGGACCCTGCCCAGCAGCCACCCGACCCGCAGGCGAAGCGCGCCCGAGGGCCGGGCCGGGGGCACCCGCGGGGGGGGGGGGGGGCCCCCCCGCGGGTGGT